TTTCCCTCCGTCCTCCCCAAAGCCCGGCAGCTCTCTCACTCCCTGCTTCTTTGAGCAGAATGATGGATCCTCTGCACGCCTGTTAGTTACCCATGTGACAGGGCTGTGGGGGGCCGTGAAATGACGCAGGTCAGACCCTCGGAAGGCACCTGGCACAGAGGCCGCTCCACGCCTGGTCGCTGCCGTCATCCTCATCAGCTTCGCTCACGCTTTGTTTACCCTCTTCCTGTCTCAGAGCTCTTCAGGCCTTTCTTTATGCAGATTTCCATCTCTTCAGGTCTGCACGGAACCCGTGTAGGATGGAAGGATGATTTATTGGGCAGTGGGGAGAGCATGTGGAGCCATTTGTAACAGGAAAAGCGAGGGCTGCTTTCAGAGAAAACAAGACAGTGGAGTCCCGGAAAGTCAGAGCCACGTGGGGCCGCGTCTTATGAATTAGGAGACCCAGGGCCAATGGCTAAGGATGCCCAGGGGTCCTCCCTACTCTGGGAAACCTCCCTGAGTGATGGGAGAGGGATGTGTACCTCTGAAAGCTGTAAAGGGTCTAAAAACCCAATAACGGTCTTTCTTACACACGCACACCATTACTGTACCATCGCCCGGCTCTGGCTCCAAGGAGGGCACCAAAGTGATCCACGTTCCCACTGCCTTCTCTTTTCCCACAGAAATCCCATCCTCCCAGCGCCTGACATCTGGCAGCTGCTGCAGAAGAAAACCCCTGATGGGCATGACGTGCCCGTGGGGAGACCTGCTTGCGGCAACCACAGCTGGTGTCTGGACCCACTCACGGCATGAGCCGTTTGAAAAGATGAACTCTCCAAGGGCAGAATGCCAGGCACTGTGGAAGGTTGGAGAGAAACACCAATGCCTCTCCTACGGATCCCACTGGTGACTGTCTCCTCCGTCGTGGGGCCCCAGAGTAGGGCAGGGAGGGTGGCTGGGGAACAGCCAAGGCCCAGGAATCCAGGCGGGGTCCACTCTCGGCCGCTGGGCTTTGCTTATTTTTGTCTGTCTCTCGTGACAGGAGCTCTGTGGGGCTGGCCCAGCGTCCAACCTGTCCACACAGAAATCTGTCCGGCAAAAAGGCGAAGGCGTCAAGGCCTCTCCCAGATGTGGGGCAGGCATTTCCAGGTTTCTTTCTTTCTTTCTTTTTTTAGACAGTCTCGCTCTGTCGCCCAGGCGGGAGTGCGATGGCGTGATCTAGGCTCACCACAACCTCTGCCTCCCAGGTTCAAGTGATTCTTCTGCCTCAGCCTCCCGAGTAGCTGGGATTATAGGCGTGTGCCACCACGACCAGCTAATTTTTGTATTTTTAGGAGAGACAGGGTTTCGCCATGTTGGCCAGGCTAGTCTTGAACTCCTGACCTCAGGTGATCTGCTCGCCTCGGCCTCCCAAAGTGCTGGGATTACAGGTGTGAGCCACTGAGACTGGCTGGCATTTCCAGGTTTCTTTGTGTCCCGAGCCTTCTGACATGTCCCCCTGCATTGCCCTTCGGGGATGTGTTTGTCTCTGACAAGGCCCCTTCCCTTTTCTGTTCCCCCCTTTTCTCTCCCTGCACTTTGTTTTTAAGTTTTTTTTTTTCTTCTTAATTTTTAGAGACAGAGTCTTGCTCTGTCACCAGGACTGGAGTGCAGTGGTGTCTCACTGTACTTTTACCAGAAAAACCCATGATACTTTGTTTTCTTCCCCCTGGAGAGAGTCTGGGGAGGCTGGGGTGTGTGAAGGGGGCCCACGGCTCCTCTCCAGCGGTGCCCTTCCCAGACATCTTCTCAGGGTGGGCCCTCCCAAATCTAACATCTTCACCCCGCAGGCACGTTCCCCGGGGACTGTCCCCACCAACACTCCAGCTGGGTTTCCTTGGCTGGCTTTCCACTTCTAGCCCAGGCCTTTCTGAAATCCATCATTTTCCCCTCCCCCAAATCCAAGCCTGAGAATTCCACCTCTAGGGGATGGAGGGAGTGGGGGATGAGAGGATAAAGACAGTTACTATGGTGCTGATGAAATCCGATCCTGGTCACTGAAGGGTATTACTCATCCCGGCTTCCAGGGCTCCAACCTTGAGAACTCCCTTGGCTGAATTCCCCAGTGCCCAGAGCTTGGAGAGCTCCCCAGCGCCCAGCACCAGCTGCAGGCTTACAGAGAGGGCCTGCTTCCAGAGCTGACAAAAGTGCACCAGGAGTACAATCACGCTGACATTTAAAAGTGAATAGTGAACTAAAAACAGGGTGGAGCAGCTGGGAACAGCCAGATGGCTGCTGTCCAAGAGGTGCATCAGAAAGGTGACCAGATGTGCCGCGTGAGGGAGAGGGTGGGGCGCTTCCCGCCCCGCCTATCTACAGAGTTTGTCCCTTCCATTCTTCTATGCCTTTTTCTTCCCGTTTGTTTTCCATAGGTCAGAGTCAGATTTCCTCTCCAAACCACAGTGCTTCAGGTTTTTTTTTGTTTTGGCCTGCTTCTTCCAGATGTACTTCTTCAGGTGGCCTCATCTGCACACCGGTGGCTGGCCCGGCATCTCGGCCCTTTCTGGGTGCAGCCACCCCTCACGCTTCTGTGCCCCAGTTCCAAAGCAAGAAGGCTTGATTCAGTATTTCAAAAATGCAAGGAATTCTCTTTTTAGAAGCTTAGAACAACCCAAGTCCTTGTCTGCATTTCCTTCCGGATCTTCCTTTGATTTGTGCATGGCCTTAGCAAATCATGATGTGCCCACTGGATGGGGGTGGCCTCCTATGGGCACTAAGTCGTGTGTGTGATGGGAGGGCATTCGCTTAAACGGTGAGGAAGGGATGCCCTCAGGACGGTCTGTCCTCTCGAGCATGGCCCTGCAGCCTTCTGTGAGCTGGCTTCTGTCCACCATGCTAGCTCATCTCCCTCCCCCACCTTCCTCTCTCTGCGCCAGCCCTAGTGAACTACTTTGCAGTTATTTTTCTTTCTCTCTCTCTCTCTCTTTTTTTTTTTTTTTAGTTTCGCTCTTGTTACCCAGGCTGGAGTGCAATGGCATGATCTCGGCTCACTGCAACCTCCGTCTCCCGGGTTCAAGCGATTCCTCTTCAAGCCTCCCAAGTAGCTGGGATTACAGGCGTGCGCCACCATGCCATACTAAATTTTTTGGTAGTTTTAGTAGAGACGGGGTTTCACTATGTTGGTCAGCTGGTCTTGAACTTCTGACCTCAAGTGATCACCCGCCTCAGCTTCCCAAAGTGCTGGATTACACTCATGAGCACTGCGCCCAGCCTGCTTTGCAGTCCTGAAGGTGACAGCTAGGCCTCACCTGTCCCCGTATCTCTGTAGGATGGCTCCTTTTGCCTGCATTGTGCTGACTACTTGTTCTGAGTGTTGGCTCTCAGAACTCGCCTCCCTGGGAGTGAGTGCCCTCCCTCGGTCTCCAGAACTCACTGCCTCCACCTGCCTCTAATGGGGTCCTGGATAGTCGGGCTTATGTCTCTGTTACCCCACTGCACTGAGACAAGTCTGTGGGTTTTTTTTTCTTTTCTTTTTTTTTTTTTGAGACAAGATCTTGTTCTGTTGCCCAGGTTGGAGTGCAGTGGCATGATCATAGCTCACTGCAGCCTTGAACTTCTGGGCTCAAGCAATCTTCCTACCTCAGCCTCCCTAGTAGCAGGGACTGCAGGCTCGAGCCACCATACCTGGCTAATGTTCTTTTTTTTTTTTTTTTTTTTTTTTTTACATTTTTTGTAGAGATGGGGATCTTACTGTGTTGCCCAGGCTGGTCTCAAACTACTTCACTCAAGCAGTCTTCCCACGTCAGCCTCCTAAAGTGCAGTGATTACAGGCGTGAGCCACCATGCCAGTTGTGTCTTTTCTCTGTTTTCCTACCACATAGTGGAGTGTCTGACACATGGCAGAATGAGTGGAAAGCCCACCAATGCCAGGGAAGTCGCACATAGCAGTGCAAAGCGGTATGCCTCCCAGATCTCCAGTCTGAGCTGCCAACTGATTCCATCCTTTATTTTATCTTATTTTTTATTTTTTGAGATGGAGTCTTGCTCTGTCTCCAGGCTGGAGTGCAGTGGCATGATCTTGGCTCACTGCAATCTCTGCCTCCCGGGTCCAAGCGATTCTCCTGTCTCAGCCTCTTGAGTAGCTGGGACTACAGGCACCCACCACCACGCGCGGCTAATTTTTGTATTTTTAGCAGAGACAGAGTTTCACCATGTTGGCCAGGCTGGTCTCGAACTCCTGACCTCAAGTGATCTGCCTGCCTTGGCCTCCCAAAATGTTGGGATTACAGGCATGAGTCACCACACCTGGCCTATTTTACTTTTATTTTTGAGATGGAATGTCGCTCTGTCACTCAGGCTGGAGTGCAATGGTGCGATCTCAGCTCATTGCAGCCTCTGCCTCTGGGGTTCAAGCAATTCTTGTGCCTCAGCCTCTCAAGTAGCTGAGCTGGTATTATAGGCACGAGCCACAATGCCTGGCTAATTTTTGTATTTTTAGTAGAGATGGGATTTCACCATGTTGGCCAGGCTGGTCTTGAACTCCTGACCTCAGGTGATCCGACTGCCTCAGCCTCCCAAAGTGCTGGGATTACAGGCGTGAGCCACTGTGCCTGGCCATCCTTTTTTTGTGGGGGCAGGAGAGAAGGTCTCCCTCTGTTGCCCAGGCTGGAATGCAGTGGTGAGATCTCAGCTCACCACAATGTTCACCTCCCAGGTTCAATCAATTCCTGTGCCTTAGCCTCCCAAGTAGCTGGGATAACAGGTGTAGGCCACCACAGCTGGCTAATTTTTCTATTTTTAGTAGAGACGGGGTTTCACCATGTTGGACAGGCTGGCCTCAAACTCCTGGCCTCAAGTGATCCATCCATCTCAGCCTCTCAAAGTGCTGAGATTACAGGATGAGTCACTGTGCCCAGCCTATTCCATCCTTATCTCAGAAGGGCTTACTCTTCAATGCTAGGCAGTCACCTGCTCTACAGACTAGAGGTCCAAGAGTGACTGTCATTCAAACGCTTTAGCGAAGTAGCCAAGGCGGGTACCTGAGCTTGTCTGCGATGAAGATGACCTCCTCTCCAGAAGCAGGGAGGCAAACACACAGACCAGGTGGCGGACACTGAGGGAGGAGAAGAGAGACTCAAAGTCCACGTGCTCGAGCCGGGAATCCAGCGGGCGGCACAGTTCGATCACCTGCCAGGGAACAGGAGCAGCCATGAAGGAGGGGCCCAGCTACGCAGCCAGGCCTCTCACGGGCGTCGCAGTCACGGGGCTCTGAGGTCCTCATCAGGGGTGACCCACTGGCGGGGAAAAGGGAAAGAAAAAAGCAAAACGAAAGGATGGGGGAAAAGAAAGATGCCAGAAGACTGGGGAAGGAGGTAGCTTTGGTAGGGAAGCAAGCGTCTCACATTCAGCTATGAGACTGAGGACGGTGTGGATGAAGGGGAGGACACAGGATGGCAAAATCAATGGTTTTTGGCCCCAAATGGTTGGGGGCTCTCCCCGGCAACAGCGTATCTGCACTCGCCATGGAGAGTTTATAGGACTTTTGAAAACTGTTCTGTCCCTGAGAGTCCAGCGGAGAGCATCTCTGTCTCTTGAGGAACTGGTACCTGCTAGGTGGAAATCCAGGCTAGCACGGAACGCCCAGCAGGCCTGAGCAGCACTTCGGAGACTTGCTGCCACCTCAAGAAGGTGTTTTTTAGGTAATCCTGACTCCATCCCACTCCATTTCTGATGATGTGTGCTTTCAGCTTTTGTGCTTTGGTGTCTATATCTTCTTTTTTTGAGATGGAGTCTTACTCTGTTGCCCAGGCTGGAGTGCAGTGGTGCAGTCTTGGCTTATTGCAGCCTCTGCCTCCCAGCTTCGAGCAATTCTCCTGCCTCAGCCTCCCAAGTAGCTGAGATTATAGGTGCCCGCCACCATGCCCAGCTAATTTTTGTATTGTTAGTAGAGACAGGGTTCCACCATGTTGGCCAGGCTCGTCTCGAACTCCTGACTCCAAGTGATCCACCTGCCTCGGCCTCCCAAAAGAAGGGATTACAGGCATGCTGGGATTACAGGCGTAAGCCACCGTGTGCCCAGCCTGTGTATATATCTTCTTCTTCTGCACTTGTTGAAGTGTTCCTGAATTCCCTCAAGTTGGTACCCATGTCATGTTTTTTTCTCTTTAAATAGCTGCCTCCTTCCCAGTGAGTGGAGAGTGGATTTCACTCTTAGCATTGCCCCTGCCTGGTGCTGCCCCCACAGTGAGACTTCCCCTCCGGTAACCTCCCTGCTACATCCCCATGGCCAAGCCACTGCATCTGGTATGGGATGTTTTCAGGCTCTCTGGCAACAGACAGACTGCTGTTCTCTCTGCTGGGAAACTAGGTTGTTCCAGAGTGTTCCAGGCCTATTCTCCTCCCTCCTTTGTTTCCAGAGGTGATCTGGTTTGCTGAGGGTCTCTGAAACTGAAGACTCAAGGCTAAATGGGGTCCTTCTTCTGATGTCCACCAAGCCATGCAAAGGGGTTGAGAGGGATGAAAACAAACTCTTTCGTAAAATCCCAGCCCAGGCTGGGCGCAGTGGCTCATGCCTGTAATCCCAGCACTTTGGGAAGCTGAGGTGGGCGGATCACGAGGTCAGGAGTTTCAGACCATCCTGGCCAACATGGTGAAATCCCGTCTCTACTAAAAATACAAAAATTAGCCAGGTGTGGTGGCAGGCACCTGTAGTCCCAGCTACTTGGGAAGCTGAGGCAGGAGAATAGCTTGAACCTGGGAGGCAGAGGTTGCAGTGAGCTGAGATTGCACCACTGCACTCCAGCCTGGGCAATAGTGCAAGACTTGGTCTCAAAAACAAAAACAAAAAATAAAGTTATAGAGGTGATACAGACTTGAAATGTAAATAGGTTTCAATACACTGTATGAATGAAAATGGGCTATTAAAAGAAACTAAGGATGTTCAGTGCAGATCCCTAATCTGAGGCCAACATCATGCAAAGGAACACCCCAGCTGCCATAGCATAGTTCCCGCTTGGGCAGAGTCCTAGCCTGGATGGACTGAGGGTGGAACTCATGATGAGTGATCTGGGCCAGCCCGAGGGGCGGGGAGAGGACACCATGGAATTGGACTGCTCACTGAAAGGCAGCCCCTCTGAGCACGGAGACTCGGCTGTCTGGGCCACTACCTCCCCCCAGGGAGAAGGAAGGAGTCTGGCAACTTACCTCAGTTCCTGAACCTGGCAGGAAGTTCTTGACAAGGATGGTTTTGCCCAGGGCTGGGAAAGGAGCTTCCATGACACTTCTCATGAGTGGTTGAACCAGGGCAGGAGAGATGCCTCGTCTTTTTTCCACCTCATCCAATATCTGCAAGGGTCAGAAAAGCGGCTTAGCTATTCTGAAGCCAGAGCACCATGGCATGGTGACTTAAGACTTACGGGGAAGCCCTGCTTTCCCCATGAGGCCAGAACAGGCCTTCTGACCCTCCACATGATTGTCCCCAATTCTTCTCCCCTCTGTGTGTCCACACCCTTTGCCATGCAACGTTGCAGCTCCTACTCAAGGAGTGAAGTCTACGTCCTTGCCCCTTTGACTTAGGGTTTGGCCATGTGACTGGTTGTGCTAATACATGCATTCCCAATGGGGGTAATATCACCCCAAGGGGGTAAGAACTGGTTTTTGGCAGGAATGAAAAAACTGAGATATTATAATGGTTTGTAGCCCTCTAAGAGGTCAAAGTACATAAACAGATAATACAGTTTATTTATGGATTAAAATGTCATGGAGGGGATATCCGTCAGGAAAATACAAATCAAAAGCACCATGAGATACCACTTCACATCCGTTAGGATGACTCTAATAAAAAGACGGATAATAACAGGTGTTGGCAAGGACGTGGAGAAATTAGAACTCTCATACACTGCTGGTAGGAATGTAAATAGTGAAGCCACTCTGGAGAACAGTCTGGTAGTTCCTCAAAAGGTTAAACATAGAGTTACCATATGACCCAGCACATAGCACTCCTAGGTCCCTACCCAAAAAAAATGAAAACATATATGTTCACATAAAAATTTGTACGTGATTGTCTATAGCAGCATTATTCATGATAGCCACAACACGGAAGAAACTTAAATGTCCATTAACTGAGGAAATGATAAACAAAATGTGCTATATCCATATAATGGAATATTATTTAGCCATCAAAGTGCTGATATATGCTATAACTTGGATAACTCTTGAAGACATTATGCTAAGTGAAAGAAGCTAGTTATAAAAGGCCATCTAGTGTATGATTCCACTTAGATGAAATGTCCAGAATAGAAAAATCCAGAGAGACAGAAAGCGGACTGAAGGTTGCTTAGAGTTAGGGAGTAACTGCTAATAGGTATAGGATGTTTTGTTGGGGTGATGAAAATGTTCTAAAATTGTGGTGAGGCTTGTATAACTCTGTGAATATGCTAAAAGCCATTGAACTGTATATTTTTTTATTCTTTTAGAGATGCGGGTCTTGCTAGGTTGCCCAGGCTTGCCTTCAACTTCTGGGCTCAAGTGTCCTCCTACGTCAGCCTCCTGAGTAGCTGAGACTACAGGTACTTGCCACTGTGCTCAGCAAATTGTGTACTTTGCGCGGTGGCTCAAGCCTGTAATCCCAGCACTTTGGGAGGCCGAGACGGGCGGATCACGAGGTCAGGAGATGGAGACCATCCTGGCTAACACGGTGAAACCCCGTCTCTACTAAAAAAATACAAAAAACTAGCCGGGCGAGGTGGCGGGCACCTGTAGTCCCAGCTACTCGGGAGGCTGAGGCAGGAGAATGGCATAAACCCGGGAGGCGGAGCTTGCAGTGAGCTGAGATCCGGCCACTGCACTCCAGCCTAGGCGGCAGAGCCAGACTCCGTCTCAAAAAAAAAAAAAAAAACAATAAATAAATAAATAAATAAATGAGTGAATCGCATGGTATGTGAATTATATCTCAATAAAGCTACTACTAAAAAACTAAAAACAAACAAACAAACAAAAAAACAAAATCCAAACTCTCCACAATCTAATTGTAAATCGAAGAGTCTAAATTAAAATGCCATTTATGAAGCTGTGTAAGGTGGCACACACCTGTAATCCCAGCTACTTGGGAGGCTGAGGCAGGAGGATTGCTTGAGCCCAGGAATTAGAGGCTGCAATGAGCTATGATCATGCCACTGCATTATAGCCTGGGCAACATAGTGAGACCCAGTCTCTATTTTTAAAAACTGCCATTTATAAAAGTATCACATGTAGCTGTTGAGCCCTTGAAATATGGCTAGTCTGAATTCAGAGTTTTTTTTTCATTTTTTATTATTTTTTATTTTTTTGAGACAGTTTTGCTCTTGTTGCCCAGGGTGGAGTGCATTGGCACGATCTTGGCTCACTACAACCTCCGCCTCCCAGGTTCAAGCGATTTTCCTGCCTCAGCCTCCTGAGTAGCTGGGATTACAGGCGTGCACCACCACGCCTGGCTAATTTTGTAGTTTTAGTAGAGATGGGGTTTCTCCATGTTGTTCAGGCTGTCTCAAACTCCCGACCTCAGGTGATCTGCCCATGTTGGCCTCCCAGTGCTGGGATTACAGGTGTGAGCCATTGCGCCCGGCCCAGATGTACTGTTAAGTGTAAAATACCAGCTGGGCATGGTGGCTCCCACCTGTAATCCCAACACTTTGGGAGGCCAAGGTGGGCGGATCACCTGAGGTTCGGAGTTCGAGACCAGCCTGGCCCACATGGTGAAACCCTGTCTCTACTAAAACTACAAAATTAGCTGGGCGTGGTGGCAGGTGCCTGTACTCCTAGCTACTTAGGAGGCTGAAGCAGGAGAATTGCTTGAATCCAGTAGGCAGAGGTTGCATTGGGCCGACACCACGCCATTGCACTCCAGCCTGGGCAACAAGAGCAAACCATCTAAAATAAAAAGTGTAAAATACCAACTGAATTTCAAAATACACAATCTTTCTTTTCTTTTCTGTTTTTTTTTTTTTTTTTTTTTGAGACTGAGTCTTGCTCTGTTGCCCAGGCTAGAGTGCAAGGGCGCAATCTTGGCTCACTGCAACCTCCGTCTCCTGGGTTCAAGTGATTCTTGTGCCTCAGCCTCCAAAAAAAGTATAAAATACCAACTAAATTTCAAAATACACATTTTTTTTTTTTTTTTTTTGAGACAGAGTCTCACTCTGTCGCCCAGGCTGGAGTGCAGTGGCGCAATCTCAGCTCACTGCAAGCTCCACGTCCCAGGTTCACGTCATTCTCCTGCCTCAGCCCCCCGAGTATCTGGGACGACAGGTGCCTGCCACCATGCCCGGCTAATTTTTTTGTATTTTTTTAGTAGAGACAGGGTTTCACCGTGTTAGCCAGGATGGTCTTGATTTCCTGACCTCGTGATCCGCCCATCTCGGCCTTCCAAAGTGCTGGAGTTACAAGAATGAGTCACTGTGCCCGGACTTTTTAAAAATTTTTTTATTTTTTGAGATTGAGTCTTGCTCTGTTGCCCAGGCTGGAGTGCAATGGCCCAATCTTGGCTCACTGCAACCTCTGCCTCCTGGGTTCAAGTGATTCTCGTGCCTCAGCCTCTCAAGTAGCTGGGATTACAGGCACGTGCCACCGCACCCGGCTAATTTTTGTACTTTTAGTAGAGATGGAATTTTGCCCATGTTGGCCAGGCTGGAACTCCTGACCTCAGGTGATCCAACCACCTTGTCCTCCCAAAGTGCTAGGATTACAGGTGTGAGCCGCCGTGCCCAGCCCTCAAAATAGACAATTAAGAATATAAAATATGTCAATGATTTTTTTCATGTCAATTATATGCTGAAATAAAATAATATTTTGGACATATTCTGTTAAATAAAATGTATTATTAAAATTAAAAAGACAGGATGGCAGTTCCTCAAAAAACTAAACAGAATTACCATATGATCCAGCAACTCTATTTCTGGGTGTATACCCAAAGAATTGAAGCAGGGACTTGAATAGATGTTTATTTGTACACGTGTGTTCCTAGCAGCATAATTCACAATGGCCACAATGTGGAAACCACCCAAATGTCCATCAATGGATAAATGGATAAATAAAATGTTGTACATACCAAATGGATAAATAAAATGTTGTATATACGTACAGTGGAATATTATTCAGCCACAAAAGGAATGAAGTACAGATACATGCTACAACATGAGTGAACCCTGAAAATATTATGCTAAGTGAATTGAAGTCAGTCACAAAAGGACAGCTATTGCATGGTTCTACCTCTATGATGCTCCTAGAATCCTCAAATTCATAAAAATAGAAAGTAGAATGGCGATGGTAAGGGGTTGGTGGGGGGAATGGGAAATTATTGTTTAATGAGTACAGAGTTTCTTTTTTCTTTTGAGATGGAGTCTCGCTCTTGTTGTCTAGGCTGGAGTGCAATGGCGTGATCTTGGCTCACTGCAACCTCTGCTCCCCAGGTTCAAGCGATTCTCCTGCCTCAGCCTCCTGAGTAGCTGGGATTACAGACGCTCACCACCACATTCACTTAATTTTTTTTTTTTTTTTTTTGAGCCAGAGTTTCGCTGTTGTTGCCCAGGCTGGAGTGCAGTGGTGTGATCTTGGTTCACTGCAACCTCTGCTTCCCAGGTTCAAGTGATTCTCCTGCCTCAGCCCTGGCTAATTTTTGTATTTTTAGTAGAAACGGGGTTTCACCATGTTTGCCAGGCTGGTGTTGAACTCCTGGCATCAGGTGATCTGCCCGCCTCAGTCTCCCAAAGTGCTGGGATTACAGGTGTGAGCCACTGCACCTGGCTCTAGCTAATTTTTGTATTTTTAGTAGAGATGGGGTTTCACCATGTTGGTCAGGCTGGTCTTGAACTCATGACCTTAGGTGATCCCCACCTCAGCCTCCCAGAGTGCTGGGATTACAGGCGTGAGCCACCACGCTTGGCCTCAATGGGTACAGAGTTTCTGTTGGGGGAGATGAAAAAGCTCTGGAGATAGATGGTGGTGATTGTTGCACAACGATGTGGATGTAATGCCAGTGAACTGTTAAAATGGTTAAGATGATAAATTTTTCGTTATGTATATATTTTAGCACAAAAAAAAGACAATAATATGAAAAAAATTAATAAGAATTTTGGGGGAGGCAGTTAAGGAAAACACATCTAAAAAGGCTGCTTTGGGGGACAGTAATTTAAAAAGGCTTGTGGCCGGGCACAGGGGCTCATGCCTGTAATCCTAGCATTTTGGGAGGCCGAGGCAGGCAGGTTACCTGAGGTCAGGAGTTCAAGACCAGCCTGGCCAACATGGTGAAACCCTGTCTCTACTAAAAATACAAAAATTAGCTGGGTGTGGTGGCAGGTGCCTATAATCTCAGCTACTCAGGAGGCTGGGAAGGAGAATCACTTGAACCTGGGAGGCGGAGGTTGCAGTAAACCGAGATCGCGCCACTGCACTCCAGTCTGGGCGACAGAGCAAGACTCCATCTCAAAAAAAAAAAAAAGAAAAAAAGCTTTTGGGATACTGGGCAGAATGAGGCAGCAGCATTGCCATGCGAGTTCTCTGTCCAGGCCTTAGGAGGCCTGCCTTTGTGTTTTGTGTGCCCTCTTGTGCCTCCGCCATTGCCACGAGAAGAGCACATGTGGGCCATCTCACTGTCTAGGAGTATGGGAGACACGTGGAGCAGGCCTGCGCCCAGACTTGCAGCCTCCTAGAGCAGCTAGATCAGCCAACCAGCCAGCCTCAATCAGCCAACCCAGCCTCTTCACAATACTTGCCGAGCCCAAACCCCAGCTGACCTCACAGCTGGGAGAACAAACGATTGAATATTGAAGGCTCTGTGGTTCATTAGATGGTATTACTAGAGCAATTGTTCACTGATACCCTTTCCTTCAGAGATTCTAAGAGCTGCTCTCTTCTTCTTCTTCTCCATGACTCCTTTCTGTTCTAAAGGACAATATGCCATTTTGGCCATCCTTGCCCCACACCTAGAAATAGCTCAAGTTCCTGGGCTCAGTTAGCTAAAGCTCTGGTTCCGGTTCTGTCCTGAATATCTGCTGTGTGGTCTTCAGCAAGTCATCACACTGTGCTCCTAAAATATCCCTGGTCAGAAAACAGACAGGAAAACCAAGGACTCTGCATCACAGAAGTATGTTAGCACATTTACTGGCTTCACGTCCCCTGCCCATGACAGCAAGGATGCTTATGTGAACTTCAAAGCCTCCACTTGGAAGCTGGCCTAACTCACATGAGCTGTTTTACTTCCAGTGTTCATAAGCATTCTGACAACAACAAAGGCTACGACCTCTAACCTTACTTCATATGTAAACAAATCACATGAAAGACTGGCCTGAGCAGTAATGCCTAGCCCGCTAGACCTCGCCAATGGCCAACTCCAACATAAAATGATGACCACTTCTGGTGGAGGGGAGGGGAGACCCTGGCTAAGATTACACTGATAGCATTCATTTTCCTTCTTTCTTTTTCCTTTCATTTTCCTTTCTCCTTTCATTTTCCTTTCTTTCCTTCCTTTCCCTCCCCCTCTTCCTTCCCCCCTCCCTCTCCCCTCCCTCCCTCCTTCCCTCCCTCTCTCCCTCCCTCCCTTCCTCTTTATCTTTCTCTTTATTTCTTTTTCTTTTTTTTCCTTTTCTTTCTTGACAGGGTCTCACTCTATCACCAATGCTGGAGTGTACTGGTGTGAACGTGGCTCGCTGCAGCCTAGCCTCCTAGGCTCAAGCAATCCTCCCACCTCTCAGCCTCCCAGGTAGCTGGAACTACAGGTGCACACTACCATGCCTGGCTAATTTTTTTGTATTTTTTGTAGAGACAGGGTTTCACCATGTTGCCTAGTCTGGTCTTGAACTCGTGGACTCAAGCGATCCTCCTGCCTTGGCTGCCCAAAGTACTAGGATTATAGGTGTGAGACACTGTACCTGGCCTTCTTTTGTTTTTTGTTTTTTAATTAGAGACAGGGTCTCGCTAGTTTTCCCAGGCTGGAGTGCAGTGATGCGATCACAGCTCAGCACAGCCTCGAACTCTTGGGCTCAAGTGATCTACCGGTCTCAGCCTCCTGACCAGACATTAATTCTTTCAAACAGACTTGCAGAGAAGTACAAGTTCTACCATGGGAAGAGATCACACTGTATCTGTATAATTCAGGCTTCCTCTGAATTTAGGGAGAGGGCGGGCAGGAGGAAGGCTTTTTTATAGAAATGCTTTTAGGGGCCGGGCGCAGTGGCTCACGCCTGTAATCCCAGCACTTTGGGAGGCTGAGGCGGGTGGATTATGAGGTCAGGAGATGGAGACCATCCTGGTTAACACGGTGAAACCCCGTCTCTACTAAAAACACAAAAATTAGCTGGGTGTGGTGGCACGTGCCTGTAGTCCCAGCTACTCGGGAGGCTGAGGCAGGAGAATTGCTTGAACCTAGGAGGTGGAGGTTGCAGTGAGCCAAGATTGCGCCACTGCACTCCAGCCTGAAAACAGAGTGAGACTCCGTCTCAAAAAACAAACAAACAAAAAAGAAATGCTTTTAGGGAGTACTGCTTTAACATCCATGGACCGTAGGTGCACAAATTTCAATTCCCAAAAGCAAGCTCAGACAGATCTATATACTCAAGAAGGACTGAAAATAAATTTATCAATTAGGTCGGATGCGGTGGCTCACGCCTATAATCCCAGCACTTTGGGAGGCCAAGGTGGGTGGATCACTTGAGGTCAGTTTGAGACCAGCCTGAGCAACATGGTGAAACCCCATCTCTACTAAAAATACAAAATTAGCCAGGCGTGGTGGCACGTGCCTATAATTCCAGCTACTCAGGAGGCTGTGGCAAAAGAATTGCTTGAACCCGGGAGGTGTAGGTGGCAGCGAGCCGAGATTGCGCCACCGCACTCTGGCCTGGGTGACAGAGTGAGACTCTGTCTCAAAAAAAGAAAAAAAAATTATGAATTAGACACTCATGTCTGGTTAATATAGGAAATGATGTTGGATTATACCTAGTTTTTGAGATCAGCATCACATAGGATAGTAATTCTTTCCTATATACCAATCCAGAATACTGGGGTAGATGAGCTAATTCAATATGGCAATTCCTATGTGTTCATATATTGGCTCATTTTCCAGAAAAGAAGACCAAATTATATGAATATTTTGATAATCTTAGACCACTATTAAAATAATTAATCCCCCCTCCACAAAACTGTTATACATACATGACACATATACACGTGGGTACACACCTATCCATCTATTACAGTAGCCTTTTTCACGCCAAAGCTCATATGACAAAAGGCAATGCTCAGAAGAAGAAAAATAAAACACCTGCAGTATTCTGGGAGGGTCCTCCACCCCTCCCTTTCTCAACTGCAATTATCTCACCCTCCCTGCACCACACACACTTTCTGAACCTGGCCCTTCCTTAACTCTTTTTTTTTTTTTTGAGACGGAGTCTTGCTCTGTCACCCAGGCTGGAGTGCAATGGCATGATCTCGGCTCACTGCAACCTCCACCTCCCAGGTTCAAGTGATTCTCCTGCCTCAACCTCCCGATAACTGGGACTACAGGCAGGCACCACCATGCCCAGCTAATTTTTTTTGTATTTTTAGCAGAGATGGGCTTTCACCATGCTGGTCAGGCTCATCTTGAACTCCTGACCTCAAGTGATCCGCCCGCCTCAGACTCCCAAAGTGCTGGGATTACAGGCGTGAGCCACCCCGCCACCGCACCAGGCCCATCAACTCTCATTTCCTGAACCACTGGTGAGAGAAGAGAGGGGTGATGAGGAGAGGAGTGAAGAAATGGGAAGGGAAGTAGGTAGAGAATAAAACGAGAGAAGGCCCAGGACATGGGGGTATTCCCTGGACCCCTCTAGAGCCCTCCCGTTCCTTCCCTTCCTCTTTCTCTGAGGTCCAAGTTCTCACCTTTGAAAAGAGGCTGAAGCATCCGAGGCGGCTCACAATGCAGTAAACTTCAGGAAGGCGCTTCCCTTTGCCTCCAGGCTTTTTGGAGAGAAACACAAGGGAATTATGAGTGTTGACAACCTCAGGGAAGAAAGGAACCCACACGTTTTTTGGGAAACTATCAAGTGCCAGATGTTTCCACATATCGTAGCTTTGGAAAACCCAATAAAGTAAGTTGTTATCCCATTGTGTTTATTATAATGTTTGTTACAATTGTTTGTTATCACTATATGTTTATTATAATGATAATTTCAAGTGAGAAATCATTTCTGAAGATCTTTCTGAAAACTCAGTTTTAAGCTAATTTTCAAACCAAAAAAAAAAAGATCAATCTCAATACTTTTTTTTTTTTTTTTTTTGAGACGGCGTCTCACTCTGTCACCAGGCTGGAGTACAGTGGAACGATGTTGGCTCACTGCAACCTCCACCTCCCGGGTTCAAGTGATTCTCCTGCCTCAGCCTCCCAAGTAGCTGAGATTACAGGTGCATACCACCACGCCCTGCTAATTTTTGTGCTTTTAGTAGAGAAGGGGTTTCACCATATTGGCCAGGCTTGTCTCGAACTCCTGACCTCGTAATCTGCCCACCTCGGCCTCCCAAAGTGCTGGGATTACAGGGGAGAGCCACAGCACCCTGCCCAATCTCAATACTTAAAAAATTTTTATTTATTTATTTATTTATTTATTTATTTATTTATTTATTTTTTTGAGACGGAGTCTCGCTCTGTCGCCCAGGCTGGAGTGCAGTGGCGCGATCTCGGCTCACTGCAAGCTCCGCCTCCCGGGTTCACGCCATTCTCCTGCCTCAGCCTCCCGAGTAGCTGGGACTATAGGCGCCCACAACCGTGCCCGGCTAATTTTTTTTGTATTTTTAGTAGAGACGGGGTTTCACCGTGGTCTCGATCTCCTGACCTTGTGATCCGCCCGCCTTGGCCTCCCAAAGTGCTGGGATTACAGGCGTGAGCCACCGCGCCCGGCCAAAAATTTTATTTATTTATTTCTGGAGACAGAGTCTTGCTCTGTTGTCCAGACTGGAGTGCAGTGACGCGATCTCGGCTCGCTGCAGCCTCTACCTCCCGGGTTCAAGCGATTCTTGTGACTCAGCCTCCTGAATGGCTGGAATTACAGGCGTGTGTCGCCATGCCCAGCTATTTTTTTGTATTTTTAGTAGAGATAGGGCTTCACCATGTTGGCCAAGCTGGTCTTGAACTCCTAAGCTCACGCAATCTGCCCACCTCAGCCTCCCAAAGTGCTAGGATTATTGGCGTGAGCCTGCGCCCGACCTCAATCTCAATACTTTAACCCTAAAGTAATTTGATCAACAAAATTATTATCTCACTTAACTTTTTCAATTATCCATGCTTTTCATTTTACTGATTAATTCAAAAAATGTTTCTTGAACACCTACTATGTGCCATGCATTATACTTGACTCTAAAGTTTTTCAGCCTATTTTAGGGACTCAAGTATATTCTCAGTGGAAAAAGATTCACCATTACTGAAGATTTTCAAAAGAACGGGCCTCAAAATGACAATTCTAAAATGCTTTAGCAGGATCATTGCACTGAAATAAGTTCCTGACTTTTTTTTTTTTTTTTTTTTTTGAGACGGAGTCTCGCGCTGTGTCACCCAGGCTGGAGTGCAGTGGCGCGATCTCGGCTCACTGCAAGCTCCGCCTCCCAGGTTCACGCCATTCTCCTGCCTCAGCCTCCGAGTAGCTGGGACTACAGGCGCCCGCCACCACGCCCGGCTAGTTTTTTGTATTTTTAGTGGAGACGGGGTTTCACCATGTTAGCCAGGATGGTCTTGATCTCCTGACCTCGTGATCCACCCGCCTCGGCCTCCCAAAGTGCTGGGATTACAGGCTTGAGCCACCGCGCCCGGCCTTTTTTTTTTTTTTTTTTTTAGTAGAGACGGGGTTTCACCCTGTTAGCCAGGATGGTCTCCATCTCCTGACCTCGTGATCCGCCCGTCTCGGCCTCCCAAAGTGCTGGGATTACAGGCTTGAGCCACCGCGCCCGGCCCAGTTCCTGACTTTTAAAGGTGATTCTTCTGAAGGGGACATTCTTGAATTATTTGAGTCTTCTGTCCTTAGCAACCATTCTGAATATTCTCTCTAAGTGATCAGGGTCTGTTTGGCACTTTTTTTTTTTTTTTTTTTTTTTTTTTGAGACGGAGTCTTGCTCTGTCGCCCAGGCTGGAGTGCAGTGGCCGGATCTCAGCTCACTGCAAGCTCCGCCTCCCGGGTTTACGCCATTCTCCTGCCTCAGCCTCCCGAGTAGCTGGGACTACAGGCGCCCGCCACCTCGCCCGGCTAGTTTTTTGTATTTTTAGTAGAGACGGGGTTTCACGGTGTTAGCCAGGATGGTCTCGATCTCCTGACGTCGTGATCCGCCCGTCTCGGCCTCCCAAAGTGCTGGGATTACAGGCTTGAGCCACCGCGCCCGGCCGGCACATTTTATTAGAAAAAAATATTTTGCTTAAAGAGAGAAAGGTCTTTTATTTGGCAGGAAAAATAATGGAGAAAGTATTTTTGTCCAGTTGCAGTGGTTCATGCCTGTAATCCCAGCACACTGGGAGGCCAAAGTGGGAAGATTGCTTGAGCCCAAGAGTTCGAAACCAGCCTGGGCAACATAGCAAGATTCCCTGTCTCTACAGATAATTTAAAAATTAGCCATGTGTGGTGGTACATGCCTGTGTCCCAGCTACTTGGGAGCCGAGGCAGGAGGATCACCTAAGCTGGGAGGTCGAGGCTACAGTGAAACATGATCCACTGCACTCCACCCAGGCAGCAGAGTGAGACCCCGTCTCAAAATGAAATAAAAGTATTTTCTTCTGATGGGAAATGGACATTGCCACCTACCAAGAAGACTCAGGTGAGCACCCTCAATTCCTGTTTTTAATTTTTAATTTTTAGTATACATTTTTAAAATAGAGCTGGGCCTCATTTTATACCCAGGCTGGTCTTGAACTCCTGGTCTCAAGTGATCTGTCCCCCTCATCCCCCCAAAGTGCTGAGATTATAGGCATGAGCCACCGTGCCAGCTTTTTTCTGTGGTATTAACTGTCCTGATTCACCTGCCACTCCCCCTGCTCCTTCTCCTCCTGTGGCCCATTGGGAAATCTCAGTCTCATGGGACCAGGAAGTCAGACCTGGCTGTCCACGAGGCTCTTGCAGGCTGAAAGCAGACTGTACTCACCAGCAGTCTTCGGCAGTAACCGAACCTTCTGCTCCATCTTCTCCAGTTAAGACAAATGAGAATGTTTCACTGTGGTGGGAAAACACAAACACATCACAAAGCAAAACAAACCAAAGACACTTCATCACTCTGCAGCAAGGGGTGGCAGTGAGCAGCCAGGGGACGCACTGCAGGAGGCCGTAGGAAAGGCCACTCCCCGTCCCACCTGTCCCTGTCCATGCTGAGACACGGGTCACCCATAGCTTCAAAGTAAATGTCAGTGAGACTGGGCTGGGCATGGTGGCTCATGCCTGTAATCCCAGCACTTTTGGGAGGCCGAGGTGGGTGGATCACTTGAGGTCAGGAGTTCGAGACCCACCTGGCCAACAGGGTGAAAACCCCGTCTCTACTAAAAATACAAAAGTTAGCCAGCATGGTGGCACATGTCTGTACTCTCAGCTACTGGGAGGCTGAGGCAAGAGAACTGCTTGAACCCAGGAGGCGGAGGTAGCAGTCAGCCAAGATCATGCCATTATACTCCAGCTTGGAGAAAGCAGCAAGACTGCATCTCAAAAAAAAAAAAAAAAAAGTCAGTGAGACTGAGAACTAAAGTGTTGCTGTGGCCTGAGAGGAAATGTGGTACTTCGTTTCCATCCAGGGCTCTCCCATCATTTTTTCTTTTTTTTTTTTTCCTCTTTTTTTTTTTTTCCGAGCAGAGTCTTACCGGTTGCCCAGGCTGGGGTGCAGTGGTGTGATCTCGGCTCACCACAACCTCCGCCTCCCAGGTTCAAGCGATTCTCCTGCCCCAGCTTCCCCGAGTAGCTGGGATTACAGGCGCTCGCCACCATGCCTAGCTCAGGGCTCTCCCAGCATTCAATCACCTGGGCTGCCCCACTTTACAAAACACAACTGTCATTGACTCTGGAGGCTGAAGAGGGAAGCGCCTGGGGTGCTGTCCTTAGGGAGCTGAGCATGTGTGAGTGCAGTGACATCTGCTCATTTGGGGATGTGACTCGGTGAGAGAGCAGCGGAAGAGTGGGACGGTTCTGTGCCCCTCTTGGAATTGCCCCGGGGCAGCTCTCTCAGGTCATGGTCTGTACAGAGCAGCCCCAAGGCTTGGACGGTCCTTAAAGACTGCTGAGCCACCCTCAAGGAACGCAGTACCCCTTAAAGACAGGACCCGCAGCCTACTGAGTTTGGCCAAATGCTGAAACATCTGATAATAAAAACACTGGTGTCTAATAACACAAGATGAAGCAGAAATGTAAGCGGATCCCCAATCCAAGAAACAGCTGGATAGGAGACTGAAGAGATGTTTCAGGAGAGAACGGGGAAGGGCAATGTTGCCCTAAACTTTTCCCAGGCTAAGAATTACCTTCTGGGAGGCTTCTGAACAACATCCCCAGATTGAGTGGGAGGCCTGGGAGGTCTGCATGCTGGGCAGGTGACTCTCACCTTCAGGGAAGCTATAAAACACCCCTTGGGGAAAGCTCTAGGCCAGGGCCATCAGGATTGCGCAACGGTGGGGAATGACTCACGGGGTCTGCCACCCGTAACCCCATCTCTAAGTCCACCTTAGTCTTTGGGGCTGGGAAGGGGAGAAGCCAGCTCGTACCTGGTGAACTGCTGGAAGGAACCCAATCCTTGGCATCAGGGAAACAGAACTGGGGAATGGCCTTCAGTTGGTCCTCAGCCTCTCTCATGAACTTGAAAGATCTTTCCAACTGCAGGGAGAAAGGTAAGAGACGGTTCGAGAACAAACCCCAGCGTGGGAGGGTGAGGCAGATGATGGAAGGATGGCGTCTCCCACCTCTCCACATTTGTGACTGCCGCCTTAACCTCTTCCCTTGGGAAGGGCTTGCAGCCTCAGTCTGCTGGGGCGTTCTTCCCCCCAGGGCAGTTCCAACTCTACACCTCTGGGAGAAGTCGGGAGGAAAAACAGTATGCTTGAGAGAAACGTTATCTATGCTTCTCCGCTTGACATTCTAGAATGTAACTATTTCAATGAATAAAAAAACACTGCCAGGGGTCTTTTCCAAATAGGAGGCTCAGGAAACTGGAGGGCAGAGCCTCCAATCAGGCCTTTCTATCTCTGGGCCCAGGCAAAGCAGTCCCTTCTCACTCCAGGCAAAGACTTACAACACTCTCAGTGAATACATTCAGTAAAACCATATTATGCTGGGAAATTCAACTAATTTCAGACAGTCTTTGAGTGTTGGAACTAGAAGGAAGCGTGACGCCATCCAGCCTGACATTCTTATTTCAGCAAGAAGGAAATAAGCCCTGAGGTGTGATGTGATGTGTCCCGGTCACATGAGTTAATGTTCGAACTTGGAAGAAAAATGATCTAATCTTTTTTTTTTTCTCTCTCTCTATGAGATTCTAGCACATCATACAGTATCTGACATATCAAAGACTGGATGAATGTTATCTTGTTAAAGAACAGGATGAGCACTTTGGGAGGCCAAGGCAGGAGGATCACTTGAGGCCAGGAGTTCAAAACCAGTTGGGACAACATAGCGAGGTCCCATGTCTACGGAAAAAAAAAAAAAAAAGAACAAGGGCCGGACGTGGTGGCTCACACCTGTAATCCCAGCACTTTGGGAGGCTGAGGCCGGTGAATCACCTGGGGTCAGGAGTTTGAGACCAGCCTGGCCAACACGGCAAGACCCCACATGTACTAAAAATACAAAAAAATTAGCCACGTTTGGTGGCAGGCACCTGTACTCTCAGCTGCTTGGGAGGCTGAGGCATGAGAACTGTTTGAACCCAGGAGGCGGAGGTTGCAGCGAGCTGAGATCACACCACTGCACTCCAGCCTGGGCAACAGAGCAAGATGCTGTCTAAGAAAAAAGAAAAAGAGCTGGGCACGGTGGCTCACGCCTGTAATCCCAGTACTTTGGGAGGCCAAGGTGGGCAGATCACGAGGTCAGGAGATCGAGACCATTCTGGCTAACATGGTGAAACCCTGTCCTTACTAAAAATACAAAAAAAAAAAAAAAATCAGCTGGGCGTGGTGGTGGGCGCCTGTAGTCCCAGCACTCGGGAGGCTGAGGCAGGAGAATGGCGTGAACCTGGGAGGCGGAGCTTGCAGTGAGCCGAGATCACACCACTGCACTCCAGCCTGGGCGACAGAGCAAGACTCCATTTCAAAAAAAAAAAAGAAAAAAAAAGGGACAGGATGAATTAATGAAGTCTGATTTAGAGATTATGTTTAAAGTCGTGAGTTTGTTTGTTTTGCTTATGAACAGAAATTTGTGATTTTTTGGTCTCTCTATGTATAAATATATATTTTTTAGAGCCAGAATTTTGCTATCTTGCCCAGGCTGGATTGAACTCCTGGGCTCAAGCAATCCTCCTGCTTCAGCATCCTGAATAGCGGGACTTACAAGTGCATACCATCACATCTAGCCAGCAATCTGTGCTTTTAAAAAGCACCCCAGATACAATTTGGGAAACACAAAATAATAATTTCTAATTATTTATCTCATTATTATTCATATTTGCTTATAAACAGGTACTTTTTCATGTGAGGAGAATTGTAGGCTTTGTTGCTATTGTTTATAGGTTTATACTTGTTAAATTTCCTTTATAAAAATTTAAAGAAAAATGCATCATGCTAAGGTTATCTTCAGTAATTTGAAATATCACATATCTGAATATCTGAGGTTAGGAATTGATAGTGTCTAACCTAAATATAACGGCTAACTTCCTTCCTTCCTTCCTTTCTTTTTTTTTTTTTTTTTTTGAGACAGAGTCTCACTCTGTCACCCAGGCTGGAGTGCAGTGGTGTGATCTTGGCTCACTGCAACCTCTACCTCATGGGTTCAAGTGATTCTCTGCCTCAGCCTCTTGAGTAGCTGGGATTACAAGCATGTACCACCACACCTAGCTTTTTTTTTTTTTTTTTTTTTTTGTATTTTCAGTAGAAACAGGGTTTCACCATGTTGGCCAGGCTGATCTTGAACTCCTGGCCTCAAGTGATCTGCCTGCCTTGGTCTCCCAGAGTGTTGGGATTACAGGCGTGAGTCACGGTGTTTGGCCCTAACCTAAATTGTTTCTGTAATAATTTGCATCAATTTCTTTGTTTCCAATAGCTTGCTAGTGAGCTCCACTTTATTCATTCATTCATTCATTCATTCATTCATTCATTCATTCATTCATTATTTTGAGATGGAGTCTTGCTCTGTCACCCAGGCTGGAGTGCAATGCTGCAATCTCGGCTCACTGCAACCTCCACCTCCTGGGTTCAAGTGATTCTCCTACCTCAGCCTCCCAAGTAGCTGGTATTACAGGTGCCTGCCACCATGTCTGACTAATTTTTGTATTTTTAATAGAGATGGGGCTTCACGATGTTGGCCAGGCCAGTCTCGAACTCCTGACCTCAAGTGATCCACCTGCCTCGGCCTCCCAAAGTGTTGGGATTACAGGCGTGAGCCACCGCGCCTGGCCCGAGCTCTACTTTAAAACACCCTTGCAGACAGTTTCTGAAGTCGGCAGGCTAGTAGTCCTGTTCACCGCTCCTGACGGTCAACAAGCCTTCCCAAAGTCACCAAGTGTCAGGGAGAGGAGGGCTCTGAAGAAGAGTATCCAAAGGCAGAGAGCACCAGGCTGATTGTTTTCAACTTTAAAAACTGCTTCCTGGCCAGGTGCGGTGGCTCACGCCTGTAATCCCAGCACTTTGGGAGGCTGAGGTGGGCAGATCACAAGGTCAGGAGATCGAGACCATTCTGGCTAACACGGTGAAACCCCGTCTCTACTAAAAAATACAAAAAATTAGCTGGGCTTGATGGCGGGCGCCTATAGTCCCAGCTACTCCGGAGGCTGAGGCAGGAGAAAGGCGTGAACCCGGGAGGCGGAGCTTGCAGTGAGCTAAGATCCGGCCACTGCACTCCAGCCTGGGCGACAGAGCGAGACTCCATCTCAAAACAAACAAACAAACAACAACAAAACCGGCTTCCAGTATGATTCCCCTCAGGCTAGACCAAATTTAATTGAAGCCATGGGGTGCCACTAATACTAGTGGTTGAGACAGCAATCAATCCGTAAAACACAGTCACTATTTAAAGACTTAGTTGTCCTTTAGTTGTTCTCCTTCAGAATAAATAGCCACTATTTATTTTCTATATAACAGTTCTTTCTTCCATCCACAACGACACAGATGAACCCAACTGGCCCAGGAACAGTCTTTGAATTGGTAATTCACAAACTCAGACTGTCCCCTAAACAGTAATTTTGACTGTCCTTGCACAGTCATGCAAAGAAGCAAATACCAGCGGGGTGTAATTATAGGAAGGAGTCATTAATTACCACAGAGTGAATGACTTAAATTATAAAGAACAGCAAAGAAAGGACCAGCCAAGAATACCAAAGGAAGGAAGAATACCAAAGGAGTTTCTCCACAAAAGAAACAGCATTCAGGACTGAAGAGCAGACCTTGTGGGGAAACAAGTTCCAGCCCTTTTCAACAGCACACTCGCTACCTGCATGCACCCACCCCAGATCACACATAGGACACACACAAATACAGGCACACATGTGCCTATGCACACGTCGTCAACCTATGAGTTATCAGCGTATACGCACACAGGCTCGTATATGCACAGGAGCACAGTTATAGGCAGCTGCACACAGAAATCTCCCACAAATACAACCAATCACAGATGGCTGGAAAACTGCCCAGTCTCCTTGAACTGTCAAAGATAAATACGGGATAGGAAACATTTTAATGGAACATTAGCATGCAAATAGGGACTGTGCCTTGATTCAGGTGACTGGACAGAAGTGAGGGATAAAACCCACAAAAAAAGTTTAAAAAGAGAAGAGAGAGGAGGAGGAAAAGGTCCTTTCTAGAGAGGGAGCAAGTGAGCAAAGGCAAGGAGATAATGCCTGACATGTAAAAAGGCATGTACAAGGATGATCACCATTGCATTAAAAAAAAAAAAAAACAGAAAAAACAGGCAGAGTGGATCCCAGCACTTTGGGAGGCCGAGGCAGGCAGATCACTTGAGTCCAGGAGTTCGAGGCCAGCCTGGGCAACAGAAGAAGACCTGTCTCTACAAAAGAGACTACAGGCTCACACCTGTAATCCCAGCACTTTAGGAGGCTGAGGCGGGCAGATCATGAGGTCAGGAGATCGAGACCATCCTGGCTAACACGGTGAAACCCTGTCTCTACCAAAAATACAAAAAATTAGCTGGGCATAGTGATGGGCATCTGTAGTCCCGGCTACTTTGGAGGCTGAGGCAGGAGAATGGCATGAACCCGGGAGGTGGAGCTTGCAGTGAGCTGAGATCACGCCACTGCACTCCAGCCTGGGTGACGAGCAAGACTCTGTCTCAAAAAAAATAAATAAATAAAACTAAATAAATAAATAAATAAGCTGGGCATGGTTGCATGTGCCTGTAGTTCCAGTTACTTGGGAAGATGAGGCGGGAAGGATCACTTGAGCCCAGGAGGTTGAGGCTGCAGTGAGCTGTGATCGTGCCACTCCACGCCATCCTGGATAACAAGAGCAAGAGTGAGATCCTGTCTCAAAAATACACACACAGGCTGGGCGTGGTGGCTCATGCCTGTAATCACAGGACTTTGGGAGGCTGAAGTGGGTGGATCATTTGAGGTCAAGAGTTTGAGACCAGCCTGGCCGTTATGGTGAAACCCCATCTCTACTAAAAATACAAAAATTAGTTGGGCGTGGTGATACATGCCTGTAATCCCAGCTACTCGGGAGGCTGATGTAGGAGAACTGCTTGTACCTGGGAGGTGGAGGTTGCAGTGAGTCAAGATTGCACCACTGCACTCTAGCCCAGGCAATAGAATGAGACTGTCTCAAAAAACAAAACAAAACAAAACAAACAAACAAAATACACACACACACACACACACACACACACACACACAAACACTGGTAGCCAGACACATTTCCAACAGAAGGGGACTGGTTACATAGATAAATAGGCTGGGGAATACTCACATAATGGAGCATCATATAACTTGAAAAATGATGTTTTAGAATTTTTATTAAATATGCTTATAAATAATGAGAGGTTTACAAAAGAGTACATGCAGCATGATACAAAAATTCTGCAGTGTATGATTCCACTTTTGTAAGAAAATTACACCATTAGAAAAGACTGGAAGAAAAAGAAAATGTTAACAGTGATGGTTTCTGTGTGGTGTGATTACCAGTGATTTCTTTCCCAATACATTTCTGGATCAGTTTCTTTTTAAACAGTGACTGTGCAACTTTACTTTAGAAAAAAAATTTAATGTGGGTGACTCCAGGCTGGAAACAATAATCATTTGATCATTATGGTGAGTCATTAACTAACCCATGAATTAATGCAGCCTTGATTCCTACAACACTGATTAAGCATTGCCATGTGAACAGCGTTGTGTTAGGCCCCAAGGCAATGAACAGGATAGCAGGACAACCCTTCATGCCTCGGTGATCTCTGTTGAGTCAGTGTGAGCACACCCAGCAGCCTCTCTTATCCATGGGCAGCCCCTGCCGAAAAAAAAATCTGGGCATACCCGTGGTTGTGGGGTGTCAGGGGCTCATTCCTTAGAGGTGTGACAACTAGAGGAAGGTGAGTGTCACCTTTGGAAGGCCAGTGCCTATGGTTTACTTCAATTTACATAATTGCTATCCTGAACTCCAAAAATAGGACTTGATTGTGGTGTTGGAATACAGTGGGCAGGATGGAAGGAAGGCTAGCCTGGGAAAGGAGGGGAGGCCTGGGGACAGCGGGATCTGGGCCTTGGTAGATGCTGGGGTTATGCCTGGGTCGTGGTGGCAAAGGGAGGCCCTGAGTGGGCAAGGACAGAAGCTCCCTCCCTTCTGCCCTCCCTGAGGCATGAGTCTGTCCAGAGACCATCAGATTCTACCTGGTGAATCTCTGCATGCTTTTCCGGGGATGGGGGGAGATGGTTATTTTATGTCCTCCTGGCAGAGTTTAAATTCCTTGAGGACAGGAGACACATTTTGTTCATCACTGTAATCCCCTAAGGCCAGGCAGAAAATTGCTTGAATGTAATATATTCTTAGTAAATTCTGGTTGAACTGAATTAGAATATGGTGGAAGCTCTTTAATACTGATGTCAAAGCCTAAGAATAATTTATAAATTATTGGCCATGTTGCCTCAGGCTATATTAAGTGCTATTTTATTTATTTTATTTTAGGTGCCATGATTTAACATACAGTAAAGCTGAATCCACACGACCATGGTCCATGACGTAAAAGTGTCAGAGGTGTGTGAACCACAGTGACTCCATTTTGAGTAGGGACTGGGTAAAATGAGGCCGAAACCTACTGGGCTCCATTCCCAGACGGTTAAAGCATTCTAAGTCACAGGATGAGATAGAAGGTCGGCACAAAATACAGGTCATAAAGATCTTGCTGATAAAACAGGTTGCTGTAAAGAAGTCAGCCAAAACCCACCAAAACCAAGATGGTAATGAGAGTGACCTCTGGTCGTCCTCACTGCTACACTCCCACCAGCGCCATGACAGTTTACGAATGCCATGACAATGTCAGGAAATTACCCTATATGATCTAAAAAGGGGAGGCATGAATAATCCACCCCATGTTTAGCAGATAATCAAGAAATAGCCACAAAATTGGGCAACCAGCAGCCCTCAGGGCTACTCTGCCTATGGAGTAGCCATTCTTTTGTTCCTTTACTTTTTGCAATCTCAGCTCACTGCAAGCTCTGCCTCTTAGGTTCAAGCGACTCTCCAGCCTCAGCCTCCTGAGTAGCTGGGATTACAGGTGCATGCCACCACACCCAGCTAATTTTCGTATTTTTAGTAGAGACGGAGTTTCGCCATGTTGGCCAGGCTGGTCTCCAACTCCTGACCTCAAGTGATCCGCCTGCCTCGGCCTCCCAAAGTACTGGGATTACAGGCGTGAGTCACCGCACCTGGCCTCCTTTACTTTCTTAATAAATTTGCTTTCACTTTACTCTGCTGAACTCGCCCTGAATTCTTTCTTGTGCGAGATCCAAGAACCCTCTCTAGAGGTCTGGATTGAGATTCCCTTCCTGTAACAAAAGGAAGGGACACACACAGAGATGCACAGCACACAAGCAAAGCAGACATTTAGCACAGACACAAGCGTGATGCTGCTTAGGGAGACTTGGGGCTTCAGGGGAAGGAGACTTCTAGGCTAGGTTAGGAAGAGATGCGGCTGTCTGGATAAAGAGATGGAAGGAAAGAGCACAGAGGATGGCATGGTCAGCACAGGAACCACAGGAAGTGAGAAAGCATTTCTGGCCATCCTTTTTTTTTTTTTTTTTTTTTTTTGAGACAGAGTTTTGCTCTGTTGCCAGGCTGGAGTGCAGTGGCATGATCTCGGCTCACTGCAACCTCCACCTCCCGGGTTCAAGTGATTCTCCTGTCTCAGCCTGAGTAGCTGGGACTACAGGCTGTACCACCATGCCTGGCTAATTTTTGTATTTGTCTGGCCACACTTTTTGAGTCCCTGAATCTCTCCTTTCTGGGACCTCCCAAATTCTCTAGCAGCAGCATTTTTTTTTTCCATCTGATATACCCTAATTAGGATCCATTTTCAAGATTCTAGATGCTAGGTGGTCCTCAGACTCCCACACCTCCCTGAATTCACGAGTCCCAACAAGGTGATGGTTAGAACCCTGGCAGGCCACAGGGACCTGGCCACCCTGTACCTTCAGAGGGAACTGTTGGGTGAGTTCTGGTACGTAGGCAGCCCCAGCCTGCTTCTTGTGCAAAGACACAACCACAAAATACTCGAAGAGCTGCCTCTCCTGGTACTCGATGAGCTCCCGGGCAAGTGATGGGTACCGAGGCGCCTGCTTCAGGCGGGACTTCACGTTGACCAGGCGCTGGCTGTGAGCTGGGTGAGGAAGAGGGGGGGAGAGAGAGAGAGAGAGAGTGCAAAGAGCCTGAAATGACCATAAGCCCATGTGGAACTGTACTGAGCTGCAATAGGTTATGTAATTCTCAGCTCAAGTACTTTTTTCTAATCCCCAAAGTGCTTCTGTGTCTAACAAATTAGTAGGAAGCTCTTTACTTGGGATCTCTGCCAAAGTTCTGGGAGAAGCAACACTCAGTTGGCTACCAATCAATCAGGGTGCAGGAGCCTGGACTCGTGGCTCTACTCTGCCATGGTTTTGCTGTCTGGACTCTGGGCAGAGGCTGAAGAAGTCCTTGCCTTCATCAGTCTGATGAGGTAGGGACAGTGACTCCTCCCTCACCCATTTCCCTCGTCTTTTGGTTTGTGTGATGTGACAGAATCCAGACTAGAGGGCTTTTGGAGCTGGGAGCTTTATAAACATCCCTTGTGACTCAACTGGCAGAGATCCCACTAACTCAGGAACTCCTGTCCACCTCTCTTCTGTCACTGACTCTGCAATGAAATGGCCTTGCTTCATTCTAGAGGTGAGTCTGCGAGCAGCTGGGTGTCTGAGGCGAATGCAGCAGGGTCACTGAGTGGACGGGTCCCTGTCACCCTCGTTCAGCAACCTGGACTTGCTGTTTTCTTCTTTTTCTTTTTCTTTTTTAGATGGAGTCTCGCTCTGTTGCCCAGGCTGAAGTGCAATGGCTCAATCTTGGCTCACTGCAACCTCTGCCTCCCGGGTTCAAGCGATTCTCCTCCTCAGTCTCCCGAGTATCTGAGATTACAGGCACCTGCCACCACGCCTGGCTAATTTTTTGTATTTTTAGTAGTGACAAGGTTTCACTATGTTGGCCATGCTGGTCTCGAACCCCCGACCTTGTGATCCACCCGCCTCGGCCTCCCAAAGTGCTGTGATTACAGGCATGAGCCATCACGCCTGGCCTCTGGACTTGCTTTCTTTGGCTTCTCCCCTGGGGTCTGAAAAATTGCAGAAAACTCACTAAAGCCTAGGCCCAGACTATCTAATTTTAGACCCACAGGGACCAATTATTTCAACAACTTCATCAGACAGACGAGGAACTAGAGGCCCTGGATCTTAAGTGATTTCCTCCAGATACACAGTAATTTGAGCAGAAGTGGGCAGAAGCTCCAGGTCTCTGAAGCCTTAGGGCCGCAGTGTCAATCCTTGAAGCATGGAAAACATCAGGACATAAGGAGAGGCATGGGAGCAGAGGTCGCTGCCGTTACTGTAGCCTTCCTGGCTCTCAGCAACTGTAGTGCCATTTTGATCATGCCCATGACGGACCGGCCCTGGAGCACCCTGCGGCCCCACTGTCTCCCGAGATGTTCACATTTTGCCAAGCAAGCTCAGGCAGGACGCTTCTGTCCCTCATACTAAGGAGGAGGGGCCACCTTTGTAGCTTCCAAGTCACCTGCCTGCATCCTGCACAATAGCAGCTCTCCTCACCTTTCAGCTTCTCCTCTGTGTCACTGTCAGACTCACTGTTCTCATCTGTCACTAGAAGAAAAGAACAAGGAAGAAAGTTGCAAATGTGAGTTCTTCTCATGTAGGAAACTCTTTCTGTGTGGCAGCACAGATCAACGTTCTAATTCAGAGGGGGTGTTCTGTTGTCTTTTTTTTTTTTTGAGGCGGAGTCTCACTCTGTCACCCAGGTTGGAGCGCAGTGGCGCAATCTTGGCTCACTGCAACCTCCACCTTCCAGGTTCCAGTGATTCTCCGCCTCAGCCTCCTGAGTAGCTGGGATTACAGGTGTACGCCACCATGCCTCGCTAATTTTTCTATTTTTTAGTAGAGACAGGTTTCGCCATGTTGGCCAGGCTGGTCTCGAACTTCTGACCTCAGGTGATCCGCCTGTCTCAGCCTCCCAAAGTGCTGGGATTACAGGCTTGAGCCACTGTGCCCAGCCTCTTGCTGTCTCTCAATGTATTGCACAAACCACATCTCGTCCAACTCAATGTACTGCCAAATTAATTTGGTTCTAGTTCAGATGGTACTAGATGGACCTATATCAGATAATACAGCAGAAGGTCCTGGTCCCTTTTGTGGAGGTTAAGCAAGGAAGGTTGTTCCCACAGTCACGCCAGGGCCTGTAGTGCTGGGCTGACTTGGTGGTGGGCGAGGACAAGGATGAGGACAAGGATGGGGAGGCAGGGGACATGCCGCCCAGGCTGAGCTCCCTTTGTCCCAAAGACAGTGCAGGACATTTACAAAGCATCAGCTTGTTCTCCTCCTTGGTGAGCCAACCAGAAAAAACAGGAAGCCACTTCTGGAAAGAATCTCTTTTCCGATTCTTGCGGGAGAGGGCTGGTGGTGGGGGTTCTACCTTTCCTGAGTTGCTCTCCATTGACTGGGACAGCCTCTTCACCCGTTTCTTTCCTCTCCGGACCTCATAAATGGCGTTGATTCGCAACACCAGCTGCCAGACACCAGGAGAAGAACAGCCAGTGTTAGCAGCAGCTCTCTGTGGCAGCTGGGCTTCCCTCACTGCCCCTCTCCTACGACGATGGAGGGCCAGGGCCAGGGGGAGTGGGAGAAACTTCCTATGGGCTTGTGGGTGTCTTTCAATCTTTTTTTTTTTTTTTGAGACAGTTTCGCTCTTGTTGACCAGACTGGGGTGCAATGGCGCCGATCTCAGCTCACTGCAGTCTCTAACTTCTGGGTTCAGGAGATTCTCCTGCTTCAGCCTCCTGAGTAGCTGGGATGATAAGTACCCACCACTATGCCCAGCTAATTTTTGTATTTTTAGTAGAGATGGGGTTTTGCCACGTTGGCCAGGCTGGTCTTGAACTCCTGACCTCAGGGGATCCACCCACCTCAGCCTCCCAAAGTGCTGGGATTACAGGCGTGAGCCACCACACCCAGCCCAGTCATTTTTTTTCCTACCACACAGGAACGTGACTGTCAAGGAAACTAAAGGAGGCTGCCAGCCCCACTGCCCTGTGGGCGTCTGTTGTCTGGATGGGGGGACAGCCCATTGCTCACAGTGCGGTGACTGCTTTCCCTCTGAGGCTTCGATGTCACTGCAGCTTGGGAAGGAGCTTTTCCTCCCAAAACAAAACAAGAAAAGGAAGAGACAGAAAAAAAAAAAAAGGTTCCCAGGCAGGGCTCCCTTCGTGGGAACCATTCCAAAGAATGTCAGAGCAGCCCTGAGTGCGGTGGGAACGCGATTAGAACAGCTCCTGAGCCCTAGCTTGGGACTTCGGGGAGCGGCACCATGCACCCGCGCGAGCAGCCCCATCTGTAGAGGGACACACACCCCAGATGTCATGCACCCTCCATGTGTTCACAGGACACACACATGCAGTGTGCAAGTGCACACGGATACCCTGGTGTGGGACACATTCCAAGCCTCCAAGCAGGCCACTCAGCCTAAATGGTCTCCCCCATCACCACTGCCAGACGCCCTGTGCCTGCCCCTCCTCACCTCCCAGGCCGCCTAGTTATCTGATGCATTTGAAAGGAGACCTGCTTCCATGGAAAATGTTTTTCATGTTTCAGACCAAAAGAGTTGGTGTTTCCTACGTATTTGTTTTCCCCTTTCTTGCGTGAGAAGCTGGTGAGTGCGAATTTATATATTTTGCTTTGCTGGGTCCCCCGGGCTTGCTATCAAAGAGCACACATTCATGCCACATGTGATTTAGAATCCACACGTGGAGGAACTCTAAAATTAGTTGTTCTGTGTGCTTACAAAATTAATCTTATTATCTCGTAGCTGTATGTTAAATGTTAGATAACACTGTTATCTGTATGTCAGTAAAAAATATAGGATAGTAACCAATTTCCATGTTCTATGAATATTTTATTTATCTATTTATTTTAAGACAAAGTCTTGCTTTGTCACGCAGGCTGGAGTGCGGTGGCGTGATCTTGGCTCACTGCAACCTCCAACTCCCGGTTTCAAGTGATTCTCATGCCTCAGCCTCCCGAGAAGCTGGGATTATAGGTGTGTGCCACCACGCCCAGCTGATTTTTTTTTTTTTTTTTTGTATTTTTAGTAGAGACAGGGTTTCACCATGTTGGCCAGGCTAGTCTCAAACTTCTGACCTCAAGTGATCCGCCCACCTCAGCCTCCCAAAGTGCTGGGATTACAGGCATGAGCCACTGTGTTGGCTTGAATATTTTAATTCTTATTTTCGATATTTAGAAATTGTCTGGCCCTCTTTGCCTCTGGCTGGTTGGGTGTCTCAGGGCCATTTAGTTGACCTCTGTGGGGTCAAATGTCCTCATTGGAAAAATGAAGGGGTTGGAGTGTTTCACTTCTGTTGAAACACTCCAAATTTCTAACAGCCAAGTGTCCATGGACAGATAGATGGATATACAAAATGTGGTATATACATATGATGGAATATCATTTAGTCTTTTTTTTTTTTTTTTGAGACGGAGTCTTGCTCTGTCTCCCAGGCTGGAGTGCAGTAATGTGATCTTGGCTCACTGCAAGCTCCGCCTCCCGGGTTCACACCATTCTCCAGCCTTAGCCTCCCCAGCAGCTGGGACTACAGGCACACGCCGCCATGCCCGGCTAATTTTTTCGTATTTTTAGTAGAGACGGTGTTTCACCGTGTTAGCCAGGATGGTCTCGATTTCCTGACCTTGTGATTCGTCCACCTCAGCCTCCCAAAAGTGCTGGAATTACAGGCGTGAGCCACCGCGCCCGGCCCATTTAGTCTTAAAAAAGAAGAAAATGCTGACACATGCTTAAACCTTAAAGACACTAAGCGAAGTGAAATGTCATTCACAAAAGGACGATACTGTGTGATTCCACTTATGTGAGATACCTCCAACACTCTAACTTTCTCGGTTCTAGGATGAAAGTTCTTAGCTGTCCTCAGACTTGCCAGGTCCTTTCATAACCTCTCCTAGTGCTGCCAAAGTGAGTCACTCAACAGGCACCACTACTTAAAGGCAATATCCCTAGGTGGACTTCAGCAGAACCATCTCTTTCTCTTTCTCTCTCTCTCTTTTTTTAGAGGCAGCATCTCTCTCTGTCACCTAGGCTGGAGTGCAGTGGCACGATCATAGCTCACTGCAGCCTCTAACTCCTGGGCTCAAGTGATTCTCTCTCAACTCAGCCTCGCAAGTAGCTAGGACTCTAAGTGCACACCACCATGCCTGGCTACTTGTAAAATTTTTGTAGAGATGGGGTTCCACCATGTTGTCTAGGCTGGTCTTGAATGCCTGGGCTCAAGTGGTCCTCCTATCTTGGCCTCCCAAACTGCTGGGATTACAGGTGTAAGCCACTGCATCCGGCCTCCCTTGACTTTCTTTCAGGTCGATGAGTTACTCAGAGAAATCCCATGAAAGCTACGGACAATGTCCCACATGGAAACTTATCTGCATAAAGTTTTACATTTTTATGGATTTCATGACCCCCTAAAGCCCATCCATGAACTCTGAAATTAAGAATCCCTGCTCTACAGGTTCCTGTAAGAAGCTGATCTTGGCTGGGCACGGTGGCTCACGCCTGTAATCCCAGCACTTTGGGAGGCTGAGGCGGGCGGATCACACCATCAGGAGTTTGAGACCAGCCTCGTCAATATGGTGAAACTCCATCTCTACTAATAATACAAAAATTAGCTGGGCATGGTGGCTATAGTCCCAGCTACTCAGGAGGCTGAGGCAGGAGAATGGCTGGAACCTGGGAGGTGGAGGTTGCAGTAAGCTGAGATCACACCACTGTACTCTAGCTTGGGCAACAGAGTGAGACTCCATCTAAAAAAAAAAAAAAAAAAGTTGATCTTGAAGGAGTTCAGGACATAGCTCCCCAAAATATGCCACTTTGGCATATTGATTATTTTTAACTAAAGACACTTGAAAAACAGAAGGTGCACGAAGGTCGCTCTGACCTTCCCTTTTCTTCTTAAAACAGGAGATGAAACTCCACATAAAAGAGGCCCTCCTTATAACGGGAGGAAAGAAACATTATCACCAGCGATGGCGAGCTGAGGCCAAGATAAATCTAATCAAACAAATCTTGTTTAACCCCTATCTTCCTGGTTACTTTTCCACAATTGCCGCTCTTTGTTCGGCCTAGTATATAAACACATAGACCCAGTCACTTCTTTGGGTCTTACATTTTTCTTTTGAGGGCTCCCACGTACTTGTAAATAAAATGAGTATGCATTTTTCCTGTTAATTGTCTTACGTCAGTTTAAATCTAAGGCTCAGCTGGAGACCCTAAGAGGGTAGAGGAGAAATTTTGCCTACCCTACAGTACCAAACTGGTCAATGAAGAGAGACCAAACTGCAGCACTGAAACTGAGCAAAAGGAAATGTAACCAACAACAGATGCATAAAGATGTATATATCCAAGCCCCTGGGAATATTTTACCTTTTTGGCTGCAAAGAGCCACAAGAGGATTGTTGACAAGGGCTGTCTCAGAACACAGACTGGGACCTGCCTCTGCAGCGGGTGTAGACCAAGTCTCAGGTCAGAGCATGATGGATGGAGTTCTGTTTTTTTGTGGCGATGAAGGAAGGAGCTGTGGCTTTTTTGAGGATGGGCATTAAAACCTTGTCTGGGATCAGACAAGCAGCTCAGATTGGGAGAAGAGTGGCTAAGAGGAAGACCACAGGACCACAAAAATGATCAGGATGAAGGTCCAGATATTCCAGCCTGCTGGCTTCACTGTGTCCCCCTGGCCTGCAGCAACACAGGTGGGAGAGGGGCCAGTGATGTATCCCCCACCCAGACCCCTCTGCAGTCTTCTTTCACAGAGAAAGGGTCATGCACATCTGAGCATGAAGCTTGTTGCCACCATTACCTTAGGTATCTTTCTCTTCTTCCTGCCGTTCTGTGGGTCTCCAAGGTTAAAGAAAGTGTCGTCAGGGCTGCTGGGAGTGGAGGGGGGGCTGATTTTGGAAGGGGACCCAGTTCCATCCCGACTCAGCTTCCTAGTGTCCAGCAGTTTGAAGTTCCTCCTCTCTGAATTTTGTCGGAAAAAAGCAGGTTTGGACAATGACTGCTATGAGGGAAAAGGAGAAAAGAAGAGTAAATGAATTCAAACGAGACTAACCAGTGGATAACTGGTGGTGCCAGGGACAAGACAATGAAATTGAGAAGAGGAACTGGTCTAGTTCCTCTACACCTTCCCAAGGTAGGTGGAGTTTGGTTATGCCAGTAAGTGTTCAGTGAACACGTATCATCCAGTTACCAAAAATGTGTGATGAGTGATGTAAATCTAATCCAGTTTCTCTTTTTTTTGAGAAGGAATCTTACTCTGTCACCTGGGCTGGAGTGCAGTGGCGCGATCTCAGCTCACGGCAACCTCCACTTCCCAGGTTCAAGCAATTCTCCCCCCTTGAGCCTCTCGAGTAGCTGGGACTACAAGCACACGCCGCCACGCCCGGCTAATTTTTTGTATTTTAGCAGAGACAGGGTTTCACTGTGTTGCCCAGACTGGTCTCGAACTCCTAAGCTCAGGCAATCCGCCCGCCTCAGCCTCCCAAAGTGCTAGGATGACATGTGTGAGCCATTTCTCTTCTTGGACAAGTGCAAGGTCACCTGCCTCAATCCCTAGACGTTACAGCTGAGGCCTTCTGACAACCCAAGACACAAGGACTGGGAGTTACAGGGCCTAAGCCTCACTTTGGCCTTGCTGCAGGATTGCTGAGTGCCTTTTATACAAGGGATTGTGTTTTTTTTTCTTTTCTTTTCTTTTTTCTTTTTTTTTTTTTTGAGACGGACGGAGTCTCGCTCTGTAGCCCAGGCTGGAGTGCAGTGGCGCGATCTCGGCTCACTGCAAGCTCCGCCTCCCGGGTTCACGCCATTCTCCTGCCTCAGCCTCCTGTAGCTAGGACTACAGGCGCCCGCCATAGCACCTGGCTAATTTTTTGCATTTTTGGTTGAGACGGGGTTTCACCATATTTGCCAGGATGGTCTTGATCTGCTGACCTCGTGATCTTCTCGCCTTGGCCTCCCAAAGTGCTGGGATTACAGGCATGAGCCACCACACCCGGCCGGAATTGTGTTTCTTTGGGCCTCAATATCTTATTTCTAAAACAGGCCTCTTCAAAGTCAAAAGGCTGGCCAGGTGCGGTTGCTTCACACCATAATCCCAGCACTTTGGGAGGCCGAGGAGGATCACTTGAGGTCAGGAGTTTGAGACCAGCCTGGCCAACATGGTGAAACCCTGTCTTTACTAAACATACAAATTTAGCTGGGTGTGGTGGCCCACACCTGTAATCCCAGCTACTTGGGAGGCTGAGGCAGGAGAATCACCTGAACCTGGGAGGTGGAGGTTGCAGTGAGCTGAGATCACACCACTGCACTCCAGCCTGGGTGATGGAGTGAGACTGTCTCAAAACAAAACAAAAAACAAAGTCAAAAGGCAAACAAAACACTTGCTAAAAAAATTTAGAACCCATAGAAAATAACCCACAGAATTAACTCATTTTCCCAAAATACACTGCAAATTAATGAGAAAAAGACTAACAACTCAAAAGAAAAACAGGCAATAATGGAAAATTTAGAGAAAAAGAAATACAATGATTCTTAGATACATAAAAATATTCTTAGTGGCCGGGCATGGTGGCTCATGCCTATAATCCCAGCACTTTGGAAGGCCAAGGCAGGCAGTTCACGAGGTCAGGAGATTGAGACCATCCTGGCTAACATGGTGAAACCCCGTCTCTACTAAAAATACAAAAAAAAAAAAAAAATTAGCCGGTGTGATGGCAGACGCCTGTAGTCCCAGCTACTCGGGAGGCTGAGGCAGGAGAATGGCGTGAACCCGGGAGGCAGAGCTTTCAGTGAGCCGAGATCGCACCACTGCACTCCAGCCTGGGCAACAGAGCAAGACTCCGTCTCAAAAAACAAAACAAAACAAAACAAAACAAAACAAGATTCTTAGTTTCACTCCCAAAAGAAAGGAAAATTAAAACTCCATTAAAGAAACATTTTTTTGCTCAGAGATAAGAAAATTTGATAGCTCACTCTGTTGGTGAAAGTGAGAGAGAAAAGTCGCTCCCACACTGTCATACAGGCTTGGCGGGAGTATCACTTGGCACAGGGCTACGGAGGGCAGTCTACATGAGCTAACAAAATTATGATGCATATAGCTTCAGACCCCGCAATTCCACTGCTAGGAATTTATCTGCTGATATACTCTTATTTGTGCAATGTTATTTTTTACAAGGAAACATATTGTGCAAAGGATACTGTACATTGCGACATGGTTTGTAATCACAAAATACTGGAAATAACCTAGATATCCATCAATAGAGGCTGGTCAAACAAATTATGATAAACCCACATAGCGGAATACTATGCAATTATTTAAAAAATCTTAATGTACTTGTTGGGCATGGTGGCTCACACCTGTAATGCCAGTACTTTGGGAGGCCAAGGTGGGTGGATCACCTGAGGTCAGGAGTTCGAGACCAGCCTGACCAATATGGTGAAACTCCCGTCTCTACCAAAAACGCAAAAATTAGCCTGGCATGGTGGTGTGCACCTCTACTCTCAGCTACTCGGGAGGCTGAGACAGGAGAATTGCTTGAAGCCAGGAGGAAGAGGTTGCAGTGAGCTGAGATCATGCCACTGCACCCCAGCCTAGACAACAGAGCAAGACTCCGTCTCAAAAGAAAAACCAAAAACCTTAATGTACTGATATGGAAGGTTCTTTCAGAGATATACATATATAATTTTTTTACAACATTGACATTTTTTCATACTTCAATACACCAAGTGTATTTTTCTTTAGTGTATTTTTTTTGTTCTTTGTTTATCTTTTAGGATTCTAACGTTTTTACTATTTTCAATGAGCTCTACATAGAACAGATATTAACTATTTGTCAGGTTTGCTGTAAGTGTGCTTTTCCCATGTGGTTTATTTGTAGTTTTATTTTAGTTATAATTTTTTATATGAAAATGTGTTAATCTTTTCTTTTGTAATTCATTTAATCTCTTCTTTCTTTGCCTAAAAAACTATCTCCTTTTAGAGGTTTAATAAATATTCAATTCCATTTTCTTCCGGATTTTCTTGGTTTGTTTCAAACGTATTTTATTTATTATTCCATCAGTAATTTATTTTGTGATATGTTCATCTAAATCATTTTTTTCCCCCAAATAACTTATTCCTATTCTATTTAATGAATGAGCTTTTCTTTACCAACTTATGAGGCCACATTTATCCTGTCTTAAACTCACATAGAACAGGCATATTTTGCTACATTGATTTCTCCATTCACTATTTGTTTAGTTCCAAATAGTAAGTAGCAATAACTTCAGAATCTTTTCTTTGTAAAGATTTCCAAAAATAAAGACTCCTAGTTTCCTAAGTGGCCAGCTCCAATGTTTTATCACAGGTCTCCAAGGAGCAATAAATTGCGTAGTACCATCAACTTTCAGCAGAGGAAGAGCTGACTGGATTAGGCACCATGAGCATCTCAATCCTACCAGCACAAAAAGAAGGAAGCGGGGCAAACCTTCTTTGAGGCTACAAATTCCATCTACAGTAAAATCCAAGGAAATGATCCTATCATTGCACTAGAATCTCCTATCAAATTGTTGGGAAAACGCAGGTATCTGCTTTTGTTAGAGATGTAGACTGTGATGGTGTTCATTCAAAGATCTGACCTGTGAAAAGGTCAGAGGAGAAAGAAACCAGAGAAGGAATGGAAACACAGCACACAGCTTCTGAAGAATGTGTGGGCTGCATCTCTGAGTGGTCACCCTGCTGGAGAACGGGGATCCTGATGTGTCCCGCGGCACCCCAAATAAGCCACCAAATGTTCAGGGAGCTTTCGTGATGGGGTGGGATTTCAGTAGATATTTATTTGCTAGAATGGGAAGACTTAGCTGTGGTGGAGAGTATTAGCAATGACACAGCACAATCTGAGAACAGTGGGAGGGAGAGTAAATTAGATCAAAAGAGTCTTCAAGGTTTAGAGTAAGTGCAGTGAAACAGATGGAAGGGATGATACAGCAATGAAGACATCTAATTGTCTACTGAAGGCCTTTGAAAGTGAGGATATGAATCTTGGACTTAGGGATCAGAAAACTTTTTTTTTTTTTCCTTTGAGATGGAGTCTCACTCTGTTGCCCAGGCTGGAGTGCAGCGGTGCAATCTCGGCTAACTGCAACCTCCACATCCCAGTTTCAAGTGATTCTCCTGCCTCAGTCGCCCAAGTAGCTGGATTACAGGTGAGTACCATCACGCCTGGCTAATTCTTGTATTTTTAGTAGAGACGGGATTTTGCCATGTTGGCCAGGCTAGTCTCGAACTCCTGACCTCAGGTGATCCGCCCACTGTGGCCTCTCAAAGTGCTGGGATTATAGGCGTGAGCCACCAGGCCTGGCCAGCACACCTTTTCTTAAAAACCAGATTGTACTTAAGGCTTTGTGGGCCATATCCTCTCTGTTGCAACTACTAAACTGTGCCCTTGTAGTATAAAAGCAGCTGTAGATAATATGTAAATGAATGAGCCTGGCTGTGTTCCCATAGAACTTTATTCATAATGTCAGGGTACCAGCAGTTGTTTGTTATACCCAGAATTATAGTATAAAAGGAAAGTCACTCTAGGATACCAAGAATGATGTGTCAGACTGTGGTCCAGAGAAGATTCTAGCTTTTGATCAGAGGACCTTACACCAACATGTATGGCACCCAATCCCATTGTGTCTCTCTGGAGTAACCTCAGGGGCTTAGCTCTGCTGAGAGGCTCGCAGACACCCCTGATTGTATAGATCTCTGACTCACGATGCAAAAGATCTGTAGTGTTCAAAAGGGAAAAGAGACAAGAACCCTCATGGTCTGAGGTCTGACGTCCCTGCTGAAGCCTCTTCAGTTATTTCAGGAGAGTGGGCAGGGGACATCCTGGTCGGGTTGGGGGGCACAGTGGCAAGGAAGCTGTGTGCCCCATCAGAGGGGCCTGAGCTGGACTCGAGCCCAGGTTCATTAACCTTTCTTGTCTGTGAATGGTGGCTGATGGCTCAATTCCTTCCAGTCGTCTACTGCCCCTG